AGTTGTATATTGTTAAAAACTGCACATCTGGGTATATAAAGTAATGCGGTCATTGTCCTTAAATGCTGCTGTATAGTTGTGTGATCCAGGAACGCTGTGAGCCAGGAGCAGATCACAGGTAAAACTGAACAGACCAGGCCTTTCGTGATGATATTCATGCCCATGAGGCTACAGTCAGACTGTAAGACTTAATGCATGGACACACTACATACTGTGCTTAGTCAAGCTATGTCAGATGTTTCAGCTAAATGCGTAGCCGATGAATAGAAAGTGTATGCAGAGTATTTGTTATTGTATATGTTTTGTTATTGAAGGTGCACTATGCAACTTTTCTGCTTGTCTTGTTGGGGATTCTATGCTATTTTCCTGTAAAGTCCCACAGTATGGCATACAATCTTCAGGTCAAATTCTAGGTCAAATCTGTGGAGATGCAAAACTTATTTCAGCCTCATTGTCATTGTCTATAGAAAAGGAAAATCCATGAAATAGGCATATACCTACCCTTCCACTAGCACAGCAGATCATGTTTTTGGTGTGAAGCTAAACCTGAACAGAAGCCCAGAAGATGAAGGCGACATGTGCATGTTAAAACCAATGACTCTTCCAGGACCAAACTTCAGAGAGCGAGTCTGGAGTCATGTCAATGCAGTGAGTGATGTGCAGCCAAGAATAGTGTAATATTGGGGCTTCAAAAAACATGTTAGCTTCATAATGTGTTAATAAATGGACCAGAATCCACATTGTGATTGCAGCTCGCTATAAGAACTTTCTGTACAATGAATCAAGGAGAATGATGAAAGAGGAGCGCTCTAATTTGTGTAGTCCCTGGCATGTGCGAACTCCAATATACATGTGCACAAGCCAAATGAAATATCTGTATGACTCTCATACGTGGCTTCGATTTAACATGCGATCTAATGAAAAAAACAGGTTAGGAATATAAAATACATGATGGAATTGTAAATTGCATCGCCCAACTGACGGCTTTAACAGGTCGCCATGGTAAAACATATGTTACCCAGTGTCTCCAGTGCACTCTATGTATTTATAACTGTGTAGCATCTCTGACATGGGAGATAAATGGCATCTGTAATTGCAAAATGTTCAAATTAAACATATTTCGTGAAACATAGCACTCTTCCTCTTACCTGACTCTGATCCCGTACTCAAGGGTGGTATAAATTTGTGTATACAAGTAATAGTTTCCTGCACAAATCTTGTGTAAATATGACATAATTGGTCGGTTAGTCTTTAAAGTGCAATCATCATAATGAATAACTTCTGTAGGGTGCAGCCTTGTACAGATGAGTAATGCTGTTTTTGGGGCTAAAAAAGAACATTGTCTTTGTGTCATGGGAACTTGCTGGTATATCGTGTCGATTCAAGAATCTGTGATTTCTGTTTGTTGCGGTAAGCATTGAATTTGTTGCGGTTGGTGCAGAAAACAAGTATTTCGGATCTGCCAAATGTGATAAAGTTGAAGTATTGTGCTGTGGTGTTGTTGCGTTTTGATTATTTTGTTTTTTTACTCTATCCATCTGACATTCTTTATACAGCGTTTGGAGTGACTTGGGTTTATTTTTTGCTGACTCTCTGTTCCAGGCCGCAACTTTCCTCCCATTTACTCAGAGGTCTCCCCACGTCCTAATTCACAGCCTTAATTACTATAATTGGTAGATGCAAATTAACGGCAATTGGAGTTGACTGGGGTCATAAATCCAGTGCTCAGAAGTTAGCGACTTGCTGGCAGTCTGCAGCGGACCACCGTGGGCAAAGGGTGCTTAACTTACTAAGTAATTGAAAGTTTCATGAATCATAATGCTTCTGAAATCCCCTTCAGCGCACACTCTCAGGCCCAAACGGCATTAGGCCACAGGGAGTCAGACACAAGTGAGCGACAAGTCACCACAACTATCTGAGACTGGGTGCTAAGGATGTTCGGATCACTAAAACAATTCTGAATCAGCCTCAAATGACCACTATCCTAAAAGTCAGCTGAGAGTTGCCAGTGTAAAAAGAAAGAAGCATTTGGAGGCAGTGAAATTGAATTTGGGTATTCAATTGAACACTGGACCAGTACACTCATTCACTTGGCCTGTTTTTGTGTTTGGATAGTGATAGGAAGCTAGAGCCAAGCACCCCTACTTGGACCTTTAAAGTAATTGTTCTTTTTGTGGTTAAATAAAATGGTTAGCCTAGTTCATGAAGGTAAAAGTAGCCGTCGTGACATCCAATGTTAGCATTTCACATGGCATATGTTCCCACAGTTCAAATATACAGTAGTTGGGTTTGGTTCAAAACAAAGAACCTGGAGCGGTCATGAAGTGTAGCACCTCTATGTACAAAGCTAATTTAGCTTGACGATGTGGAATTAAGGCTGAGATGTGAATGAAATCTCTGGTCAGTGTGTATGTTGCGTGGGAGAGCAGAACCAGGCCCCAAGTCTCAAACACACTCATGTATGGCCCTGCCTCGGCCCGAAGTGTAAGCAGACAAGTATTGCATGTGATTTTTGGGGGAAATGGAGTGAAAAACAGGTCCTGGGGTTGCGGGTTCAGGTTGTGGCTTTGAGAGTGACGAGATCCAGAAGCCAGCAGCACTTGGTTTTACCCTGGTGCTTCCTGCCCCGCTGGCCTGGGGCAGAGGGCGACGGGAGGGGCGTGTGTTGCTGGGAGAGTGAGAGTGGGAAAAGTGGTAGGCCAGGGGGAAAACTAATAAGGCCCAGTTCACCCTGCAGCCAAAGAATCACCTTAGCGCAGCTCCTTCACTCACAGCCACAAAAAGAGCTGCAGAGGTGATGCAGCCGTGAACTAGGGTTAGCCCCACGAACCACACTTTGGTAATCAGGGTCTCCTACAGCATTTAGTTATGGCTTTATTAATACATTTGTGTGTGTTTTTGTTACCCTTAGCGTTAAATGTGATGGAGACATAATCATATTTACTATGACTGGTTTAATTTGCATAAGATTTGGAATTTATAGCATTGTCACAATTACCATAAAGCAGGCTGTAGCTGCAAAGTGTTTCTCTGGCCTTCAGTTAAGATAAGGTTGGCTCAGGAACAAGGGCAGAGTGACGCGGTTGAGTTTAAGAAGTATTTCCCCCCCTCTGCTGCCCTCCTCTCATCTGTGAAAGCATGTCATTTATGACTTGTTATTTTGATTTGGCTCCATATTTTCCACATGCCGGTGGCAGGCAGATGTCCGATAATGGCATGTGTGAGTGGATGGACTGTGTTCCACCTGCTCCTCTCTGTGTTTTGAGTTCAGTGGTGGGCAGTGAGAGATTTCCCAAGGCTTTCTCTGAGTCCTTTCGCCCAGCCAGTGTGGTCTTCACATGACCAATCAAATATGTCAAGCCGCCAGTGCATTCCCCCACATGTACAACAAGAAAATCTGGCTTCAATTATTATTGCACCCCTAGGGGAACTTCCAGAATTCCTCTCCTCCTCATTTGTCAGAAATGAAGCTCTCTCGTTTCCTGCGATTGGCTGAAATATGTCTTTTGATATTAAATCACACCGGTTTCCACTAGCTGCATGACTAAGACAAATGTTTATCACATTTATTTATGTCATTGGAGATGACCTGCTGCTCTGCAAGGCTCAGACTTGGCTGCACACTTGCCGCTGTGTTGATTATGAGTAAGAAAGTTTCTAAATAAGCTCTGTTAAGAGATCATTTGGAAAGCACATGATGTAACTGCGGTTTCTAAACTTAAAAATACTTGTGTGATAGAGGTAGTGTTACTAAAGCACTAATGAATCTAGACTGACACATCCCACCCAAATCTCACTGTGCTTGCGGCTTGATTTCTATTATGGTCTGTTGATAAATGTGGTTCCAAATGTTGATTAAGGATCAGTTTCACTTGTTTGTATGTCAACAAATCTGGCTAAATCCAGTTATAACCCTCTGATCTTCGCCTGTCTTTGTTGTTCTATTCTGTGCTTATTGTCATAACATCACTCTCTAGTTATAACCTCTCCGATGTGGCTATGGGGAAAGGGTCTGAATATGAAAATTACCATTGACGTTGCTGAAACAAATAAAACTACTCATGCAGCCCATACATCTGCAGCCATTTTGAGCCTTTATTTATACCATTTAAGCTCTCATTTGAATTCACCAGCACAAATAAACATATCATAATGGAGCTAAAAGGCCTGATGTCATATGCAGATGTTGAATTTTGATTATTCGTATTCAATTTGTCGGGATCTTGTCTCTCAAACGGGAAAATACATGACATCATATTTTCTTGGCTTTGATTGGACACTGCTTTCTCACAAGTGTAAAGCAGCTTGAGTACTGCTAAGGCTTGACATATCTCCACATCTCTCCTCTGTATTACGGTCTGTGTACGCTGCAGACCACCTGTGTTTCTATAAACCCCAAAGTTGAGCCTGCAGACTACTGTGCTGTGCAGGCCAGGGCTTTACAAATATTTACTGATAATGATAAGAAAGCATAAAAATAAAGCTGAAGTGATTTCACCTCCACCGTTGGCTTCAGGAAATACTGTATTTGGTAATGGATGAAACATGATGCCCAAACCCTTACATTCCGCAAGTATGCTTACATAATTACATAAAATAGAAGAATATATGCCAAGTTACTTTTTTATTATGTTAAGCTAAACATTTCGTTAACAGAATAATATTGATTTTGTTTTATATGGGTGTGGGTCATACATATGCGTTACTAATGCCACCTCAAATCTTCTAGTCACATAATTGTTTCTACGAACTGAGCTACTGTTGCGCCATAGCCATTAAATGTAAAATATGAAAGTTGTCAGAATGAAACAACAATGTTATGAAGCCTGCTGTTGTAACATTACATGATTCACAAGCATTAAAAGATTTCCTTGGAACTGCGTGGTTGTCCCTTGATGCTCTACCAAAGCTGAACTATGCAGACTGCTTGAGTGAGAGGTTTATGGTTTGTGAAATTACTTAAATCCATTTTGTTCTGTTGTTTGTATTCCTTATTCTAGGCGTGCATTAAACCTTGGCATCCTGAGGGACCCCGGTTCAGAAGTGGAGGACCGCCAGTACCAGGTGGATCTCACGTCCATCAACATCGGCACAGCCCAGTGGGAGCAGCTCAAACCGGACAAGGAGGGGGTCAAAGGAGGCCTGTCTGTGGAGACCGAGAGGAGCTCCCAGAACCCGGCACTGGAGTGGAACATGGCCAGCAGGTCAGAGACGCACACATGTTCCTGCTACTTAAACACAAGTATACTCTACCAAACTCTTATCAGATGTATTTCAGTGATGAGATTAGGGCATCTAAATGTGCCCAGACACAGTTGAAATAACTCAAACATGTAGTCACCTTTAATTAATGTGATTTACCTTTAAAGGGCCTATAGTATATGGATTATTGGGAGCTTTAAGTCATGTTAGAACTTAAGCTGAAATTGTGCTTTATTTCATTCACACATGTTTGACTAATCCTTAATTATTAGTCTGCCTACATTTTGAATGCTCAAAATGCTCTGTTTGACCTTGTGATATCATGAAGCAGTAGTTTTCCAGTTAACAGATACATTTTACCTTTAGTTCAGGTATGTTTTTGATGAGGAACCAGCATTATAACATAGTTCAGAAAATAACATAATATAGGCCTTTCAAATAAAAAAAATGGTAAAGATAAATAAATAAAACATCATGGTTTATAGAGGTTATACACTCACATTTTATTTGAATAATGGTCCTCAACATTCCAACTGAGTGGCAGAACTATGGGCAGCATAATTGACAAAATGTATTTTTTGCTTATTATTTGTCACATTTTTCTCCATGGAGCAATTATTTTCACCCCTCAATAATTATTTCAGAAACATGTTATTTATTTCAGAAAGATGTTATTTAGGGATGAGCAATATTCAGTTCAACTGTGTATGATCACAAAGCAGAGTGGTAGACTTTTGCATTTGTTATTAGACTGTAACAGTTTTTTTCACAGTTTAGATGTGTTCTAGGCACTTACAGGAGAAAATGTCATTACTCACCACTGACAGTAATGTTGTCACTCACAAATAAAGTTCCAAAGGTTTAAATGACATCTGCATAACCTCTGGTGAGTGATTATATTGCCAACAGATGGGCAAGAAAGATCTCAGAGCTCTATTTCTCCCTTTATTATGAGGCCTCATTATGCAGTCATAATTTCAAACTTGTCTTTTTTTATACGCAGGAGCTAAAACAAGCACAACTGTAACAGCCCGTTTGGCCCCACTTTCTGTTTTCCAGTCTGTTTTTAGAGGGAGCAGGCCCAAAAATCACAGAATCGCAGGCAGTCTCCCGATTTGTTCCTCTTCAACTAAAAATAAGCCTTATGGAAGAATGCAGTGAAAAATCAACATGGCTGTGACTGAGACGGAGCGATTTGGGGTCACCAGGGCGCGGACTGAGCCTGGTGGAGATACATGTCTCCAACTGTCACTATGCACAAACACTTGTAAAACCCCGGACAACCAGTCTTATTTCACTATCTTGTATGTAATACTGGCTCCTGTTACGCTAGCTATTGGCATACATTCAAGAATAACACAAACTTCCAAAGAAATGCTTGTACTACCTGTAACTGAATTGTGTCCAATCAGTTCTTCTTCCAAATGTACCTGATAGGGCCTCTGGATCCATTATAGAAGTTTCACATATTTAGCCATTTTGTAATTTGGTTACTATGCTTCACCTATTAATGACATCATTTACTTTTAGCAACACCTCTTACTTCACTGGCATTTGTTTCCTTTTCATAGTCCATGACACCTGCTAAAACTAAGCAGGCCCTCCAGATCTGTCCCTTAACATGGGACCACCCTGATTGTTTCCACTTAACGCTCAGTAATTTTAATTCAAAAGTCTCCCCTCACCCCGACCTCCTCACACTGTGTCAGCCAGGTCTGTTTTAGAGCCCATTTAGGTAGCGGACTTGGATCTTTACTGAAGTCTTACACTTAAACTGGCAACCCCACAGCAGTGTCTCACTGTTGATTTTTGACCATAGGCTACTGGGGCTCCATTTACTCCCTTTATTCTTAATTTCAGTGTGTTTCTACTGATGGGAACCCACCAGGACGGGCTGAGTGCCAAGGTCAGATTCTCTGAAAGGGCAATGAGGTGAGATTTTGGGCTCACACTTCAGGGCTCCACAAGTGTGTTTCAGTGCCTTTTGAGTCCACTCAAGTTTCCTTAGACATGTTGTAGTGGCAGGTCTGGATTTTGATTCAAAACTTCATTATGAGATGACCTAACATGCAGCTTAGCAGTTATTATTGTACTCAAAGGATTGACACCCACAGTTTAGCTGTAAAATATATCATACATAGTGTAGACTTTTAATGCCAAGATTGTCACATGATTGAGCAAAATTTGTTTAGTCGTCATTTTAGTCGTCGTTACAACCTTCAGTGTACACTATCCTTTGAAGCTAATATTACAAGGATTATATTATGCATAAAACTAATTTTAGAAAAGCTAGACATTATGCATTAACATTGCAAGATAGTTAATTTCTTGAAATTACAACATGGTTGCTATGATTTGCTATGATACTATTGACACACAGCACAGCAGTCCCAGCATGGGACTGCTGTGCAGAGGTTGCCTGTTAATCCCTTATGCCTAGGTTTCCTATGCCACTAGGTTGAGGGGATCTACCTTGTTAACCATATGTCAAATAAAAGGTTGTTGTTCTGAAACCTACAAAAAAGAAATAAATGAATAATTGAGTTTAGCCTGGTCCCCAAATGCATATTCAGGATATGGCTTTGATGTAACAAAGTGCAGAGTTCAATTTATTAAATAAATGAGCCAATGAAAACACTCTATGTACATACTTCATTTCCAAGTGTTGGTCTCCAGAGTAAATAATTGTATAATTGTAGGAAAGTATCAATGACTAAGTTTATATTTTCTTCCAGAGCTTTTGTCACAGTGAGCAGTCAAAACAGAGAAGGCAGTATAATCTTGAGCACAGTATAAAAAGTGTCAGATATCTGACCTGTCCTTGGCACTCACTGGCGACCTCTTAATAAACCCATCAGTTGTCATTGCTCCTCTTTTCTTTCCTACCATGGCAGAATCACCACTGGACACTCTTTTGGAAAATGAGCTTTACTGTAACTTTGTGTGGTGCAATATACACCAGGCCTTCCCCACTGCGACCTCAGTCAAGTCCAAATAATGTTCCAACACAGAGGAAAGGGAGTCAAGTTCACAGCTTTACTTGTCTGTTACAATCAGCCCCAGAAGCACACTGCTTTGGCCATAACAGGCTTTGACACACACCACTTCCAAAGTTCACACCTTTCCTATATTCACTGCAGTAGACTCCATTATTCTATGTTGAGCTTGTGGCATGTTCACGCTACAGTTTTAGGAGTTTTATTCCAGTAGTTGTGGATCTACAATGGCCTCAGTTGGCTTCCTGAGGTTTTGAAGGAAATTCCTGCTCAGCGGATCCACTGACAGGATCTGTCCTCATCACAGTGTGGAGTTGTCGGCTCGGAAAGACCTCGTGTCAGGGAGCTGTGCACTCCCTCTCCTCCCTCCATTAGCCCCAGAGCTGGCCTCTCCGGTGCCACTGATATCGTCATGTTAGGCCCAGACTTGGTTCTTTAACTCACCCTTTTATGTGTGCGCAAGTTTACACCTAGTGGTGATATTCCTTTTGAATAGTTCAACTTTTTTTCTATAACCCTAATTAAATGAATCACTGTTGTAAAAATTGTACCAAGTATATAAGTAGTTATAATTTCTAGCGAGATCAGACTTATGTTTGCACTTCAGTCACACTTCCAGGTATCTCCTTCCATGTTATATGCACTTGTCTTGGTCTTAAATGTGCTCCAGTCTAGGTCCCAGCCTACTCCCATGACTTCTCGCAGTTAGTGTGGTCTGAACTGTACCAGTACATAAAGCTGTTTTCATCCGAGTTAGAGGCCCCCTCCATATTACTGGTAAACCGAGCTTTACGCCTACATGGCTGGCTGGTGAATGATAGCACCTGTCCCATGCAACGAGACACTGCTTGTTTCAATCCCCTGTCTGAGGAGAGATTAGCCAAACACCAATTGCTTTCTCCAGATCACTACTTCTCTGAATCAGGCCTCCCTCAACGTCTCCACTTTAAGAAAAGTGTCAAAAAATAATCCCTTCAGGGTGCTCATAATGCACATTTGTGTAACAGCAGTGAATATGATATTGGATCTGCTAAAGCACTGGACTCGGGGCCACCTAGAATCAAGCCCATGTCTAATCCTCGCCAACTATAAATATTGGAAGCCGTAGCCCTTGATTGTTTTAATAGCAGCAGATGTGGCAATTAACACCACCTTATAAAGCTCACTTGTGTATTTGTTTTAGCGCTAACAAATGTTCCCACAAATATGAGTTGATTGTGGGAATGAGCATTAGTGAAATGGAGAGACTTGGTTTTTGGTTTGATCTTGTGTATATACAATTAGGGGTGTTCCCAATTGAAGCTTGTCAAATAATGTCTCACTCTTCGTCTGTGTAACCAAGTATTCAAGCTCCCAACCTCAAACTTGTTAGCACGGATTTTGGGAATGTATACTCCTTTTGCAACAGTTTTGAGGTTCTCATATTTTTGAAGTACATGATGTTATTTTAAATTTAAATTGCCAGGGCAAATCTTAGAAGTGTTTCATTCTGTCAGAGTTGGGGCATAACAATAGCTCAGCAGAGAACATTTTGTGGTTTTAACTTTGTTGTGTTGATTTGTCAGTCTTGGAGCTGTTGGGACCAGTTGTGCAAAAGTTTTATAGCTTGTAACTATGACAACTCGAAATAATAAAATGCTGTGCTTGTTTAAGAAGAAATCACGTTTGGAAAGTTTTAGTCAGTTATTGTTCCTTGATACTTTGAAGGTTTTATCTGTTCAATTTGTTTTCCACTGTTGAGGTATGGCTTCAGTTACATCCACTTAATTAAAAGTGTAAATCTCTCTAAATGGTTATGAATATGGCTAGGATATGCTTTCATTGTCAACTCCAGAGGACTTATTGCACTTGTAAAGAGTTTTATATGTGTTTTGATCTTCTGTGTGTCTCCACTTTAGTATTAGGAGGCAACAGGAGCGAAGGGCCATCCTCACACCCATCCTAACGGACTTCTCTGTTCGGGTGACCGCTGCTCCTGCCATAATCTTCAGCAAGAATCTCTCCCCTGAAAGTGCACAGGCAGAGGTCAGTATGACGCAGACACACCTGGTATAAATCTAAGCAAGTTGTTTTTACTCAATTATTTTCACTCAAGGGAGTTATTGTAACTATCACACCGCCATATTTAATGTATGATAATAACATCTTAATTGTTTTGATATCAGTTATTGGATATTTTTATTAGAGCACTATTATTTTGCTCTGTTAACTTCCAGAAAAGGTCACAGAAAGCAGTGAATCTTAAACTTTTTACACCCAAATCTTGGCCTAGCACCCTAAAGACCAAATCAGGATTTAACAAAATGCCTTCACTTTGTCAACCCAATACCACAGATACCCTGATTGTGTGCCCAGTGCTGGAAGAAAAGTTCTGTATAATGGCTTTTTGGCCATTTACCAGTCATGTAATCGATAATGAAACCTGTGGTGTTTGGATAGGTTACTCCCAGTGTTATTATGATACATATGGTGGCTATAAGAGGAATTACTTATTTTGAATTATAACAAAGTTTAAATTGAGTATTGGATTGTTAATAAGAACTTCATGCAGAAGGGCCTGTGGAGGTTACATATTATTCCCTGTCCACCTTGTTAACATCTTATGCCCTTTGACCATAACCTGTTGCAGCCTTTCACTTTTATAGAAATCTGCAGATGATTATGTGAAATGTCAGTTTGAGTTAAGAGTTTGTCTCAACATACAGTAACTTGCTCATTATAGGGAGCCTACTTTTGGGTGCACCGTGTAATGGAGGCTTTTGACCTTCCAAGTTCAAGCCTTTTTTGCTTATACAGCTGATGTTTTCTGGCTAACCGCTCTGAAACTTCCTGCCTCTTTGATGCCGCCTCTGTCCATGTTAACGTGCCCCTTGACAATGTGTAACAGCTAATCCATAGTTCACACACACACATGTTCTCTTGTACTACTGCCCAAAAGACATGAGAGCTGGTCACAAAACATACAAAGCATAATGACTTTCTATGACTTTGGTGGTCTATTTTCCTTACTTAATATGATTTATAAGCACATTTATAAGCATGAATTGTCCAGTGTATGTCTCTTTTGGAGATGTAGCCCACCAGCTGTCTTAAGTTGTTTGTTCCAATAAGTTAAAGTGTGTTGTAAAGTTTTATTGACCTTGTCACATAGTCCATAACTGTTATTGTAGCCTTGTGGTATCATGACCTTTTGACTTTATTGTATTTATATTGCAGCTGCACTTTTAGTAGTGGTCAATATAATTCTAATATATGACTATTTAGCCAGCGCAACTTTCCCAGAAATTGCTGGTACACAAAGTCTTTAAGTGAGTAATTTGGAATGTTACAATTTTGCTTTATTATTATTAGATAATCATGTTTCGAATTTGAAACTACTTTTATTTGCTACTTGCATTTCAAACTCTCAGTTAGCCACTAGGGAAGCACTTATTCATGGAATTAAAGCATAGTCAAGATCAAGGTTTATTTATTAATTTGTTCCCTATGAAACAGTGCTTTAATTCAGGGTCTTGGTCTGTCTCTAATGCAACATACACTACTTGCAAGCAGCTAGGATCTTAAGTATATCTTCTCATTAAGTCATATCACAAGTCACTCATAGCTTCTGCTTCTGTCTATCTCTAAACACTGCTTTTCACCTATTGTTAAAGCTTTTGAATTAAAAAGGCCCCTTGAGACATAACTAAAATCTAGACCACATTTAATATTATTATTTCCATGTTCCTTTGAGTCCCTTTCTCTGAGACAGGCTTCCATTCAGTAGTGGTCAACTGCTCTGTGAGAAGTAGTTGTTGGTCTGACCCATGTGTCTTTGTGGAGTTTGAGGCCACAATTTGAACCTGATCTGTGGGTGGGACCCTGGAGAGGACAGAGGGAAGAGGAACAAGTGAGTTCATAAAGGCAACACGACTAGTTAAAGCAGGGCATTGTGTGTAGATCAGTTGCATTTATGGAGCAATTACAAAAAGACAAATCGCTTTTTGAGTCTTTGAGCTAAAAACTGAAGGCCAAAGTTTCAACACTGTCAGTGGGTGGATCCCTTGGAGAGGACAGTGAGACAGGGGAACACCATGTTAATAGAGGCAGAAAGACTGAATCAGAGAGAGCTTGGATGTGTGTTTTGAATGTGCTTCCTGCCCCCCTCCCTCCCTCATGTACTGTGCATGACCCATCTTTGCTCTCCGGTCTTGGTAGGAGGTGGTGGTGTGTGGTCACTCTCTGGAGGTGAACCTGACCAGCAGCCTCGACTTCTACCTCAGCATGGCCCAGGTGCAGCTCCTCCAACAGCTCCTACGGGATAACATGGTCGGTGTGGAGACAGGCCAGAGAGGAACAGAGGTACTTGTAACACTAGATTCACATACACCATCATGTATATGAACAAGAAGTTCCACTGATATCAAATATATTGTCAATTGCAATATAAAGGACAAAAAAGAGCGCCAAAACTTGACTTTAAAAAGTTGTACTGATAGACAGAATGATCCGAGGCACACGGACCAGTACATAAAACTCTTTTATTACAAACGGGACGCATACAGTTTTCCACTAAATAGGCCTTCTTTGGGGCATGGTAAAGATTTTAAAAGGCAACAGGTGTTGGCTCATGTGAATAGAGTCACATGATTCTACTATTTAGTAGAATTGTGTGACTCTGTTCATTTTAGCCTACTACAATCAACATGATAATGCATAAAATATACATTGCTTTTTAACAATATTCAATACCTTATTGAAAAACAGTAAAGAACAGCAGCAGAGTCCCTGTGGCCTATTAAAACCCCAAAAAGAGATCACCTATGCCCCCTGTGGTTGACTTGTCTCTGCAGTCTAAGTTTATATGTCAGTATTAGGCACTGTGGTACTTGTCATATTACAGTGTGTTCACATACACCACAAGTTCAGAGGTTCACAAACATGCCTTTCCAATTTCACCATTCGACTTTGTAATTGCGTTCAAAATTACATTATATTACAGCCATAAAGCCTGACCCTTAGATATTTTCACGCCAATGTGATTAATCTTTTGTACAAGTTGACACACTTCCAAACTCTTGACATGAATCCATTTCCAAATCACTCCACAAAGCCGTGCCAACTCTGTTCAGAAACCCATTTTAGGGGTTCCGCTGTTGTTGCCCCTCACCCTCGCCCCTTGTGTTTTTGGGTGAGGTGAACACATTTAAATATTTACTCGCTTGGAGTGAAACAGTCCTCTAATGTGGCCCTAGTTTACAGCCCTGTACTCAGCTACAGCTTTTAGAAACCTTCCTATTGTTTACTGGACAGGGAGCTCTCAGGCGCCATTTGCCCTGTCTGACCGCTTAATAAAGCCTTCTAATGGAACACAATATAAAAATATTTACCAGCTGTGGTGCGGCTGGGGCCATAGAGCAGGCAGAGGGGACAGAGGGGAGCTGTGATTTTACCGTTATCTCCAGTCAGTGTAGACTCTACAGTGGGACGTGTGCTTCGAGGGGAGCGACTGCTTCATGACTCACATCCTGCAGGCTTCTGAAAGAGGGCTCCTCACAAATAAAACAGTTAAACCAGTATTGTTCACTGGCCTTGGAATGGTCAACTGTACTTATGGACTGTACTACTGGAGTCCTATATGTACAATACATTTTGCATACACTAAAGAAAACATGTTTTAATACTTTGTGAAAGCCCCATATTTTTTCTTTGATACCTGTAACTTCTAAGTATGTCCAGTAGGGCTGGGCAGTTGATTAATAATTTCCAGTCATTAATGACACATATGCTTGGCTCTAATCGAGAGGTCTACAGCCAGTCCTTTGTTACTAAAAACATGTGGCTTGGAGCATACTTCAAACTTTAGAGGAACAATTTTGACAATTTAGTTCTGATAAATGGGAGTTAAAAATTTGCATTGTTTATGTTAAGGAAATTAGTGATGAAAGCCATTTGTTTTTAATAAGACAAAGTAACATCAAAAAGAAAAATGAGAGGAAGAAAAACATAATTATTTTATTTATTTATTTTTGTAATATCGTCCTGTCCTAATCTGGTGAGCGTGTTATTCCAGTGTTTAGAAAAGGTACACCTGTCTCTCCTGTTCTACTTAAAGTAGACCACACGTATTTAGAAGGACATGCTTAAGTCCATAATGTGTATGTAATGCGTATTACCCAGGACAGTGCACGTCTTGTGTGGAGTGTTTGTGTAACTCCATAGAAACATATGAGAGGAAGCTGGTGGTGTCAGGTTCGGCCTGCACCTTTATTTACCCATTTCTGTTGTTATTTATCCAGTCAGTCAGCAGGTCCGAGAGAGAGAGGTGCCGACGATGCATATGGTCTTGATTTGAGGTGATCTCGGAGCGGTCACCCCTGACTTGTAATGATTCATGGCTTGATTCTGTTAAAGGGCAGAGAGAGGCTGTGGTGGGTTCAGTCAGGTTCAAAGCTGCTATTCTGGGAGGTCTCTTAGCATTAGCCTCAAAATAATAAAACATCCCACAGATCTGCCATGCTTTACACCATTAAAAAGGAATATTTGAATGGCTGTTTGTTTTACCATATTTCATGTCCTTACCTCATTTTTTGTTCAAAGTTAAAAGAAACCTCAGAATGGGAATTTCTCATGGGCACCTTGACAGTAGCTGCGGTGAAGTGCATGCTCTTTTTCCTTTATCCATCTTTGCCATTTTATCCACCAGTTGGAAACACCATTCCTCTCTCTCTCCTGGAATGCACATGTTGTATTATTGCTGCCTCCTGCTGAATTAAGTGAAATTGAAATTACCCACAGGTCCAGGGTGATGTAATGTGCAGATCAGCAACGCACTGTTGAGAAATGAGGGATAGATGCTTGGGAAAATCCTGCTGTGTGCTCTTTTTAATATACTTTCTGGTCACAGTTGTTAGGGGCCCTGACATTTTATTGTACCGTATTAATATCTATTGCAATATATCCCCTTCTTTATTGGGCTTTTTAGTGGTGCCATTAGAGAGCATAACATATCATTAACACTGGGGCCATTCTGTGTATGTGTCTTCACCTCCTTTGAATAGGTGCAGTCTGGATATACCATTTGTGTCTATAAATATGTACCTCCATCTATCTCGTAACCCTCCTGGAGTGTCTGTCTGTCCTGGACCTCCTGTAGGCAGCAGAGTAGCGTAGAGCTCACTCTTCCAAGCCTATTTAACAAGCTGGAGAGCCCTCTAGTGGTGGCCTTGACTACTACGCTCTGTGTTTACATGGCACAGGGAGAGTGTGGCTGCTTCTCCTCACTCACTGAGGCCTGTGCCAGCAGCCTGTCGACCCCCTGCTATCACATTAGACACAGCACAATCAAATGATAGCAGTAGTATTTGCACTGACAGTGTTTGGATTATGAGGTTGGATCAGGTGGAGACTCTAAATGCTTTTTGGGTACGCTACAATACAACACTTTCTTTCCACTCCCAGTTAACATGTTACAAATAATCAACATAACAGTAAAAGCTGATTTTTGAAATTTTGGAAAATGATGTCCTCTGTTGTGTAACCTAATATTTTTATGATATTTATAGTTTCTGACAGATATGTTTGGTCTTTCTCTAAACAACCTGTTCAAAGCTCAAAAAACAAGGCTTGGCTCTGGAGCATCTGGTACAAGTGGGATTGTTTCTATTCAGTAAAGGATTTGTGTCCCCCGCAAGTCTTTAATTTAAAAACTGCTCCCCATTCGCTTTGTCTTCTTTCCAAATCCATAGCTTTATCTGTTTTTTCCCTGTGTTTGTCTTAAACAGATTCTCTGCAATTCTCAGTACTGATTTCAAACAGTTCCCACTGCCCGTCCCAGCTGTATTTTATTGTCTGGGTTAATGAATTTGTTTTGTTGGGGCTTTTAGGTTCCCTGGCAGTGGGGAGGCGAGCCAGGCGCGTGGGCAATCTGCACTGGTCTCATGTTATTGAGGCATCTCTGTTCCACTACTTGCATAGTGACCTGACAGTGGTTGTTTTTGTTTAGTTTTTTAAACTGGATGCCCTTCCTGTCATTACATGCCCCATTATGTGATAAAAGTGGGCACTGGAGAAGAAATCTGTAATAGATGCTTGCCTGTTGTGATACTGAAAACTGAATACTGTCAACTGGACAAAAGTTGGTTCTTGTTGTTTTTTGAGTTTGTTTTTGTGTATGTTTCCCTCAACAATTTTGGAAGTGATTACAGTAGTTGACTTCAGTACAATTCATAAAAAATAGTAAGAAATAAATACATAAATCAATTATAATGAAAATAAAAGCCCTCATTTGCTATGCATTATTTGCCACCTCAGTTAATTATTTTATATACAGCAAGTCAATTATGTTTCACTAACAGCCACAATAGTGATTTGCTGCTCTACAAATCATTGCATTATTAGCTTGTTTATCACTTGTTTAGCCCTGGTCGGGCCCAGCTTAACTCCTGTGCTTGATGTTAATGATGACATATTGGTGCTGGGCAGAGATCAGGCAGAGATCAGGCAGCTTTCAGCAGCGGGCGGCTCTGGCCTCTATGAATAGATGATAGAGCAGCTTCTGGGACTTATCTGACTGCTCTGTCATCAGCAGTGTCGCCCTGGCCACACAACATACTCACGTTCGGATGCCCTCACGCACACATGCTCCACACATTCTCGGGATGTAACTGGCCCTAGCCTTTATACAAGGGCCAGTCTGTAAGGCAACTTTATGACTCGACAGCTGATCTGCCATTGTGCTTTGATTTGATGTGTCAATTTGCTTATGACGCTAATGTTGTCTCATAAAGAGGTTTGTTTTTTACAATGTTGTTGTTCTTTCAAATGTTTCCACTCTTTGACTCATTTGACCTTCCTTTGCTTATGCAAACATTTTATCAGAATAACTGCTGCTAAATTTAACCAAATAGACTCACTTTAATGCCATCCGTGGTATGCCACAATCTTGGACTGTCCCAGAGCAACCTTTCATTGGTGGCATCCGTGTATAACAACTTCTTAAGTATTTTGGTACTGTTCCTATAAACTGTAAGTCACAGGAATAATGTAGTTTAAAATAGGCACATGCTGGTATGCTTCTCTATCTCAGCCTTCATGCTTGTACCACCCACACATGGAGGCAGCCTGGGTCACCCATGTGCACTTACCACAGCACACAGGAAAATACCCGCTGGTGTAAGGGAAGTCCCGGCTCGCTCCTCCACCTCATCCTGGGACGATTACACGCTTGGCAAACTGGGCTTTAGACTTCCTCCCACACTGAGAAGAAATTAGCATATGCACACCAGCGCCAAGTTTCTCTGTGTTCAAAGTGATCAGCCCCTCTCTAAAAACTTCTGTATCTACCACAATTTATTCTCATT